AGGAGATCGGTGCTTTCTATAAATGGCAAAGCTGATGCCAAGACAGTAGGTAACCTATACAAGACTGTGGTGTACCCAAGCACAGTTTCGGGGGATACTGGGTGAGTGAGGAGATGAAAGAAGAGGAACAACATTAAGTCAGACCCTGAGGAGGAAGTAGATGGCAAAGGGAGAGGAGTGTTCTTGTATAAGACAGGTTCCAAGGCAGAGGAGAGTGAACCATACACGCCAGGAAACAAGGAGAAAATACTTATTTCCAAGACAAAGAACATGTATTTAAGAGTAACATAGCATTTGGACATGGCAAAGCGGTTGTGGGCATCAAGAAGCCAGATAGTGGGGGAAGGTCTCTGAAATCTGTGGTTTAAGAAAAACCAGACTACAAGAGATGGCCCTGTAGAGCCTGTGATGTTTGGGGGGGCTCTGTACCTCTACTGTTTTTCCTTCTGCCATCCTTGGACACTCCCTTCCCCAGAGGCCAACATCTCTCTGTTGTGGTAGTTGTTTTATGACTGAGCATTCAACTTCTAGGTCAGACCTTCCTAATGCTGCAACCCTTTAATACAGTTCCTCATGTTGTGACCCCAACCGTAAAATTATTTTCATTGCTACTTCATAAACTTTAAGTTTGTTACTGTTGTGAATCACAATGTAAATATCTGATGTGCAGGATGGTCTTAGACAACGCCTGTGCAAGGGGTCGCGATCCACAGTAGAGAACCGCTGTGCTGAGCACTTGTTTATTCAGGTTTGTGTCATCTAATGTAGAGATTGTCTAACCCTGGAAAATACTTTCCATGAGTCAACTTCTGTGAACATTTTATAAATATATGTAAGTTCAGGTGCCTAAATCTCCTGCAGGGATTACTCCAGAATCACCTGGGAGACAGGTCTTTGGGCAGACACATGAGAGATTATCTAGATTAAGGTTAGCCTCTGAATGTCTGTGAAGATCCATCTTAATTTGGACCACACCAATCCCTGGGCAGGGATCCCAGACAGTTGAATGGAGAGACAGAGCTGAGTACCAGCATTCATCAGTCTCTGCTTCCTGTGTGGATGGATGTGACCAGCTGCTTCAAGCCCCTGTCGCCTTGACTTGCCAGCTATGGTGGACTATACCATTGAACTGTGAGCCGGAACAAACCCTTTCCCCTTGCACTGTTTTTGAGAGGCTGTTTTATTACAGCAACAGGAAGAGAAACTAAGGCAGACAATAGCAGGTTTTACTAATTACTAATGGAGATCACGGGAGCCTGGGACTTATGGTATGTATATCTGATTGAGAATAATGTTACATTTTTGTAAGAAATACCATATTTGCCATGCCTGTTGAAAGCTTTCCCCCAAGCATTAAATCTGAAAGCAGTTAGGAACTGCAGAGAATATGTATGGAGTATAGCTTAGTGGTGGGGTGTATGCTTAGCATATGTGATGCCCTGGGTTCAGCCCCCTTCAAAATAACAAAGGAAGGGAGCAGGGGTTAAGAACTAGAGAGCATCTTTCAGTATGGGTGTGCATCATCCAGGCAGCCTGGTAGAGCTCTGCCTCACATGAAAGTATTCTTTATCTCTGACCATCACTCCAGGTCTTAGAGTTCTTACCTTCTCAGTGGTGGAAATAGTGCTGCAGCAAGGGAAATGTGTGTAAAGGCTTAATAGTTTGTATGCAATCATCAATAAATTTTGATTTCTGTTTGGGATTTACATATTGTCAAACTTTACAGAACAAGAAATTATACCTCAAAGGGGATGGGGACTAGAATGGATATTTATAAAAACTCCAACTATATTAGACTATTCAAGAAACCACTGAAATTGCAGTTAGTTGGACTTTATTTTGGAGACAAGATCTTTTTTTTTTTTTTTGAGACAGGGTTTCTCTGTTAACTTTTGCTCTATAGACCAGGCTAACCTCAAATTCACAGAGATTCACCTGCCTTTGCCTCTTGAGTGCTGGAAATAAAGGTGTGTGATACTGCTGCCCAGCTGGAGGCAAGATCTTATATAGCTCAGCTGATCTGGAACAGGCTGGCCTTCAACTTGCTATGCATTCAAGAGTGGCCTTGAATTTATGATCCTCCTGGTTCCCAAGTGCTGGGATTTCCAGGTTTGTGCAACCACACATAGGTTTATGCGGTGCTGAAACTCAGAACCTTGTGCATGCTGGACAAGCACTCCTCAACTGAACTATATCTTTATCCCTGAGACTGTTTAGAAAATGAACCTCCAAGCTGGGCGTGGTGGTGTGCACCTTTAATCCCAGCACTTGGTAGGCATCATAATCTAAATAGTGAGTTCTAGGCCAGCTAGGGCTACCCAATAAGACCCTTACTTGAAAAAACATGGCCATATTAAAGCCAGGGTATAAAACTTTATTAAAGAATATGTTTTATCTCTGCCATTTATGTTTTGGCCTTTCTTTGGTGAAAGGTAAATATTCAGGCACTTATATGCCCAGGAGGTGTTTTTGGCTTCCTACTGTTTGAGTCTGGTCTGGAGTTTTTATATGAAAATGCTTGTGGGTGACAGCTGGTGTGGCTTGGGCAGTTTGTGGGGCGACTGGCCACGGAACCTGTGTTTATCCCTAGTGCGTGAACTGACTTTTTGGAGTACATTCTCTGTGGAGGGATACCTTGCTCAGCCTAGATATGGAGAAGTGATGTGACAGACTTCATTGATTCCCTATGGGAGGCCTCACCCTCTCTGAGAAACAGATGAGGAGTAGGGTGTGAGAAAGATGGCGTGAGCGGGAGGAGGAGAGGTGGAGGGAGTGGAGATTGGTATGTAAAATAAAGAAAAAAGATTGTTTTAAAAAAATGTTTGAAATAAAGGCTCTTATGTCAGACAGAGAGAGGCAGGAGAACACTTGCACGTTTAAGGCCAGCTTGTTTTATAAGACTTATTCTAGGCCAACTAGGGCTACATAGACTTGGCTCAGCATAAACTAAGTTCCTAATGTAACTGTTACCCTGTAGAACGTCACTGGACTACCTGCTTTTGATAGATGATTGAGCACACCCCACAGCCCATGCCTATTGTCTGCCATCGAAGGGTTCTGGCATTGTGCAGTACTTGACCAGATCCTGAGTATGTCTGGTTGGGGAGAGATAAGCACCCACATATACCTTAGTGGAAAAGATGACCACACCTTTGGCAGTGTTCTGACTGATGAGAGAACGTAATAACTGGCTCAGCTCAGACTCACCCTCAGTTCCCAACACTGACATAAACACTTGATAGGAACAGAAAACTGGAGTAAGAGAGTTTCTCAGCTGGCAGAGCACACATATTTATACATTCTTCTGTGTCGAACTCAGTGGTTAGAGAGCTTTCTGGCATGACTGCAGTACACAAACATTTTCAATTTGAGCTGGCGCGTTTTCCATCTAATTAGTATTCAGGATAAAGTTCACTGCCCTGGAGATGGCTTGACTCAAGTTTTAAAAACAGACTAATGAAGTTTAGGTTTGGGACAGGGGAGAAACATATAGACTTGGAGTTGTTTTCTATTAATGTTTGACTATATGTAATATCATTCTAGAGAGAGAGTCATTCTGTTTCCAAACAACTGGTGCCCTTGCACAGACTACTCAGTGCTTGCTGATGTTCAAAACTTAGCTTTGGAAAATTCCTTGATTTTGATCAAAGAGCACCTTGTGAAAACAGCAATAGACTAGAGCAGTGGTTGTGTAGAACTAGGTGTAGTGAGGGCCTTTAAAATGAGACGTGCCTCCTGTGGAGGTGCACACTGTTAATCCCAACACTCTGGAGGCAGAGGCAGGCAGATCTCTGGGAGGTCAAGCACAGTTAGGACTACATAGACCCTGTCTCAGAAGAGTGGAGTTCAATGATAGAGCATATGCTTAGCAAGAGGGAAGGAGGCCCTAGATTCAATATCCAGCAAAACGCCCCAAACACCAGTAATCTTTAAGGATTAACTTTGGTTAAGTGTGTTTTGTTTCTTCTCTCCACTGTTTGAACAGGAAATGGAGAGGAAAGCCATTGTTGATGCTGGTGCGTTCTAACATGTCTAGTGCTAGCCAGCACCACACCCATAAAGTCATGAAGGCAGAGCAGCTAGATGAGGAGTTTGTTCTGTGCTGAGGGCAGGGCAGGGAACCGCTTATTCAACACTGTGAAACCTGAAGCCTGCCCACTTTCAGCAGTGCTCACAAGCTCGGTTCTGACTAGAAGACAGTCCTTCAGCTTTACAGGTGCCACAGGGAAATGGATGCCATGTGTTCATGTATGCGAGTTCTGTCGTGGACTCTAATCATCTTGGAGTAGGAAAATCTCCATTTCTCCATTTGTCCAAACCATGCTATTTATGGCCTGTGAGGGCCTGTGTTAGCCTCAGTTTCCTCCACGAGTTAAACATCGTGTACCAGATGATCTCCTGGCTTTCTCATCATGAAGTTCCGGGGTTTTTTCTATGCATAGGCAGCCTGGGATCTTGTGACATAGGTCAAGTAGGACTGTTAGGATTTTCTGCTGACCTACTTTCCCAGCAGACAGATGCAAAAAGCAGCAATGCCACGGTCCATTAGGAAGTTTGTGCTGGGTTTGCTGAAGTCATCAGGGAAAGTCTTGGATGATGAAGCAAGCACTCCTGAGTGCCAAAGTTGTCAGATGAAAATGCCACTGTGCGGGTGTCCTGTTGGTATGACTTCTTCCTGTTTGAGATCCCGAGTGACAATATGAATTGCCCAGCGCAAGTCCAGTTTATATAGTCATTGATTCCTCCACACTCCTGACCAATCAGTTTCCTGGCATAAGGATCAATGAGTTATCTACAGTTCAAAATTTCATGTTTTTGTTTATTTGGTTTTGTGTTTTTTTGTTTTTTTTTTCTTTTTGAGACAGGGCTTTTCTGAGTAACCCTGGCTATCTTGGAACTCCCTCTGTAGACCAGGTTAGCCCCAAACTCAGAGATCCACCTGCCTCTGCCTCCAAGTGTTGAGATTAAAGGTGTGCGTCACCACTGCCTGGCTCTGAATCTCTTTGTAGAGCTGCAGAAACACCAGGAAATGACCCATGTCCCAGCACTTGATGACAGTGGCACTGACAACACACTATAGTCTCAGTGGCTACACTGTGATTAAGGTTAAGTCTAGGATGGTTCTGAACAAGGAAACAAGTGTTCAAAATGGTAATTGTACCCATGGGAGGGGTCCTCTTGAGCCTTCTTACATGACTGCAGCTAGACTGGCATTTATGACAACCCTTGGGCCATCCTGGGTCAGTCTTCTCATTTTGTTTGATCATCTGTCTGTGTAACCAAGACTGTCCAATTCCTGATCCTCCTGCCTCCGCCTTCCAAGTATTGGGATTACAAGACATTGTGCTTGACCTCATTTTTTAAATCTTAACTTCGAAACAGTTCCTGGGCATAGTTGGAAGACTTGAGTATCTCTGGGATGTCACTGTCCAGTTTTGAAATAATTTTGTAAATGGGTTTCTTCCAGGAAGGATCTGAATCTCTCCCTGTGGAGACAGCCTTGAAGAACTCCTGTAATGTCAAGGTGGCAATTTCCAAGAAGCAGTCTGGGACCTGCATCCCCAAAGACACCCCCAAGAAAAGGAAGAATTGAGGCTGGAAGAGCTGGCACCATGGCGAGCCCTCTGGCAGTGATGCCTGTTGCTGGCTTAGAGTATCCCTGCGCTGCCACCCCAGGTTCTGCAGCCCAGGACTGCCCTGTTCCCTAGTGAAACCCACACCTTAAATGACCATCCAGGGAAACAGTCTTGGGAGCAAGTATTAGAGACTTACAGGAGTTACTTGTTCCACCGATTAGGCATGTTTTCATAACTAAGTGGGAAATGACTTGAAGGGAAATGAGAGGTAGTAGCGTTCTTTTCCCTAGACCTGTTGTGAAAAGGTGGGCCCTCTAGCTTATGACTGTCATGCCTCACCCTCCATCCTGTAGGGCTCAGATCCCAAGGACTTAAATCCCTGTTTCCAAAGCCTTTGGAAAGGGTTGGTCCAGGACCTTCACCCAAATCAGCACCATAGGTGACAGGATGTCCCACAGGCATTTCAAATGCAGCTTGGGTAGGAAATTGCTGCCACTGCCTACCAAATGACCATCCCCACACAGCAGGGTAGAACGGTGCTGCCCACCTCACGCTGTCTCTAACCCTTTCCTCTTCTATAGATAGCCTGCAGTTTCCAACGTGTTCTGGCTGTGGAAACCAGCAGACTTTACACTCTTGAAGGAATCAATAAACTCCTGTGATCACAGTGAGAAAAGCAAGAAGAAAGAAATGCAGCCTGTGACCAGACACACTGGGCACCTGAAGAAGAAGAGAGCGGCCAAACTGCTACCCATGCCACTCGACATTTAGGCTCTAAGGCACCACTGCGCACCTTCACGGAGGCCCCCAGAGTTTTAGAATTCTTCAGCCTTGTTATATCCAGAAGGAATTTGAATTTGCCACGTATACAAAGCAGAAAATACAAGAACCACATGTTAGAAAGAGCAGAAAATGTCAGAAAAGCTAGGCAAGAAGTAGATGCTACAACAGAGTCCAGCATTTGATCCAGAAGGGATGTTTTTAGAGACCCAACCATTCAGAGAAAACACATCTCAGATCTCAGGGGACCCAGTGCATTGACTTACCTCAAAGTCATTTCCCTTGTTATAGTGTGTATTGAGAACTCGAAAAATCTCTGAATCACGGAGAACCGCCAGCATTTTGGGGTTTGTGACACCGTCTGAGATTGCTTGCCGGGCGTACTTTTCCATTTGGATGTAATAAAACTCACGGAAGTTGCTGAACCACTTAATCATCTGGGAGGTGATGCAGCGGTTGAACTGTGTGAACAAGGGGTTCATCAAGTCAGACATTTGCCATGGGGTGCTCGCAGTCACAACTGTCAGTGTTCAGTTCAACCTGGGATCAATGTGAATGGCTTCAACCACCAACCATTTTAGTTCAGGAAAAGGAGCCATAGGTGCTGGCCAACCCTGTGCAGTTAGTCTCAAAACTCTTACCCACACTAGGAAATAGATTTTATGCGCTAGCCCTTTAGGCTTTTGTCCATATGTCTAAGTAAGACTTTGGGTTGGGCCCCAGAAACAGGAGGAGGAAGGGGCGGGCCAAGGGGGATGGTAAGGGTGTGACTCAGGGAGCAGTTTCCTGACTGCTGGAGCTGCAGAACTGATGTGAGTCAGTGTCTACTGCAGTTATTTCATGACTGAGATAAGAGCCCTTACCCCACAACTTAGAGTAGTGGATCTCAGAAACCACCTGTGGGCACAGGCAGGGTTTGGTTCCAACATGCAGTTTGATTTACCTCACCAGCACACTTGATCTGTATGTGCTTCCACTTGGTTTTGAGACACAGCAGTCTGGTTGTAAGTTTGATGTCTTATATGTATTTTGAGTGGGGATCAAACCCATGTCTTTATGCATCCTAGGAATGTCCTGTACCACTGAGCTACATCCCAAGCTCCTTATATTTTACCCATTTCTTTACTGTGCTTCATTCTTTTTCTTTTTTCTCTTTACTAATGTACTTTATTAACTGGTCTGTTATACCTAAAAAGTTAATCTACCAAGTTACCATAATTTTGGGATATAAATATTTTCAGCTAATGTTATGTCTATGACAGATACAAGATAGCCACCATTCGTTTATCCTCATTCACCAGGAGCCTTAAATAGAGCAGCGTTACTCTTATACTTCTCTGTAATCTCTTTGATATTTTCCAAGAGATCTTCAGACATGCATTTTTCATATTCTCTGTCAGCTTTAGCAATCTGTTCTTCAAGATGTTTTTCCAAGGACCCTACATGTGTAGCAATCATCTCTAAAAGATGCTGTAAGTTATTTCTTACTTTTCTTTCTTCGGTTGAGGTTAGTACAACTTGTTGGTATTCCACCTGGACAGCCCATAACGCATCCACGGCTTCACTGAGGCCCTCGGTGTTTCTCCAGGAATTCAAGCTCCCTGGCTCACTTCTCATCTTCTTTCTCAGCTTCCTGAGCTTTTTGCTGGTAAAGGTCTTCCAGCTTTTGCACCTCACACTTGTGCTGTGCTCTGTCTTCATGGTGTTTGGTTGTTCTAAAGCATCCTCCAGGCTGATCTTTTTAATTAGAGCTCTGTTCACTTCTTCCTCTCTTTCATTCAGGAGCTCTTTGAATACACTGAGCCCTGTATTTGACAAGGTATTTGCCACCAACTTTGGGATTAAGCTTAATTTCGAAGTCATAACCTTTGAAATTGTCAGCACCTGTGGAAATAAGCTTTCCTGTTCTACTCTGCTAGCTGTGTTCCGGTCGCCCTTTGCCTCGGTCCACATTTGGTGTTCAGCCTCTAGGTCTCTGGTTACTACAATCCCATTGTCTGCAGCAATTCATTTTTTTCATGATTTACTCTCTCAGTGTCTGCAACTGAGTACTTCTGATCATCAACAATATTCTGTAGGTGAGCTTATTCTGTATCTGTCTTATTGTTTTACATTCTGCTATACTCTATCATTTTCTTCATCAAGACCACTCAATTGCTGGTCTAGAATGAATGAATGCAACTCCAAACTGCTCATGTATGCTTTATGCTTTTGAACATACGCTTGCAAGGAAGTTTTCAGTTTTTTCAATGATATCAGATGATTTGGTTCTTTTCCTCTTCCTTGCTCCAGTCTTGTAATCTGTTCATTTAGTGCTTTGTTTTCTGCTGCTAATGACTCCAGCTTGGATGCATCTACCTTAAATGAATTCTTCAGCTTCGATTGCAGCTCTGCATTCATCTCTTCAAAGCTGTCAGCACTGATCATAGCATCTTATGGTGTAGTCCAAAACCAACTCATTATGTGTAATTCTATCTTCAGTTTCTTCTCCCCAAGGCTGCCCGTCATCAAATAAAGGTGCGCTTCCTTTTGTGGCAGTATGAATCTTGATGCAATCTGTTAGCCACACCAAGGCTGCCACAGTGTGAGGCCAGATGTAAGGGGCTCCCACTGTACACATGAAGCTTTTGGACAGTGCAAAGAGATACCCAAGGTCTTTAAAAATTCTTGGGACCTCTTCAAATTTTGTGTCAGAAAGTTCATATGATGGACACAGGAAGCCATAAAGAAAGGCAAAGATCTTTAGGAAACCTTTCATTGATAAGGCTTGTAGAGACTTCATGGATACGATATATATATATATATCCATTTTCTGTAAAAAACTCAGCTGTCGAATACATTGCTGAATGACGCTTTACCATTAAGTAGTCTTGGATTCTTGATTTTTTTTTCCACAACTGGAAAATATACCAAGTTGACGGTCCTGGATTCATGTCCGCTAGTCCTTTTACCAAATACTGAGACTTCTTTCAGCTGTAGTTTGTTTGTACTCGGCTTCCAAAGGTGGTTCTCTGTTGGTTTGAGGGGTATGAAGGCCTGGTTTATTGAGGTCCAGGAACCTTAACTTCTATGTAGAGAGGCGGCCAGCACTAGTGGAAACTGAACTACACTTGATGCTTAGAACTGATCGGTGAAAACAGCCTAGCAGATTGCACCGCAGGCCTCTCACACCACAGAGTATTTTAGCACAGAGTTGATTCTAATGTCAGCAGTTCCCTTTCTCGGTTTCTTGAACTACATTCTTTTTCTTAAAAAAAAAAAAATTGGACTTGGGCTATAGCCCAGTGGTAGAGCTCTTACCTACCATGCCCAAGGCCCTGGGTTCAACCCCCATTTAAAAAAATATGTGTATGAGTGTTTTGACTACATAATATGTATGTGCACCATATGCTTATTGTGCCTGCAGAGGCCAGAAGAGGGCATCAGATCCCATGAATTAGAATGGAATTAGAGATGGCAGTGAGCTGCCAAGTGGGTGCCAGGGACCAAATCTGGATCCACTCCAGGAGCAGCAAGTGGGCTTAACCACTGAACCATACTTCCAGCCCCAAATATTATTTTTGATAAGGTCCCCACCAAAGAGTAATTACCAGACCAAAGAGTCCACCCAATACTATCATTTTCCTTCCATATGTAAACTTCCCATGCACTTCTGGGATTATCTACTGCTCAAAGGCCCAAACATTATGAAAGCCACCTTTTTGTAGTATAAGGAGATCCATGATTTTCTCCAGTCACTCTCAGAACTGGAAACTGCACCAGTTACATGAAGGAAGGGCAGTGAAGACCTAGGACCTGCCTCACAGTGGGCAAAACACAGTGGCTGGAGAGTTACACAGAGGCTGCAACAGTGTGTGACTTTACCTGGACATCAGGGAAATACGCTTTCAGGAGGCTGGAACTGGGGTACCGTGTGAAGAAAAACATGAGTTTGGCTTTCTTCAAATGACCAGGGCTCAGGCCTTCCTGGATGTGCTTTGGTGTCAAGGAAAAAACATCTTAAAGTACCAGCTTACATTCTGGGTTGATGGCACTTCCACAAACATGGGGACCACTTGTAAAACTCGCCAGACTTTCTCTAAGTCATGTGGCAAGCACCAGCCCTACAGAGTGACATGGGAAATCAGCCTTTGTGGCAGAAAGCGGAGTGGTGGTGTGGCCTCAGCCCTTCCACTAAAACTACCAGAAGGTTGTCCTGAACCTACCTGCAGAGCCAAGCCAGTGCTTGCCTCTAAGAGATGACAGCATTTTGGATGGAGAGGCAATAAAGGGCAAGTGACCCAGTCTAAGCGGACTTTGTTACTGCAAAATTATGAAGTTATAGGTGCGCAATTGGAATCCCAGAAATTGGGAGGTGGAGGCAGGAGAACCAGAAGTTCAAAGTCACCCAGCCTGACTCCAAATTAATAATAAAAATAAATAATAACAGTATTAAACCAGTTTATCAAATAATTGTCAGATTTTCCAAGAAATGATGACCTGTTCTTTGTGGTTTCTGCTTTAGTTTATTTATTTGTTTGTTTGTTTATTTATTTATTTATTTTGACTGAATGGGGATTTTGCCACATTTTTCTTTTCTGGAAATGGATCAGATGAGCTGGAAGCCGTCTGCATCATTAAGTTGCATAATATGCAAGCATCTTGGTGTGTGAAAGTCACACCTCATGGCTTGTCTGGCACCAGTACAGCATCCTGTAGCCTATGTGCTTTTTCAGAACAGGGTGGAAGAAGACAGTTCTGCCACAGACAGAGCTCTTGGGAACCTCAGGTAGGGACTCCCTTTCATTCTACCTCAGTTTCCTATAGAATAAGAGCGGGGTTGCCTCAGTGGTCTCCTGGCTAGCCAGACAGAGTATCAGATCCCATAAAGCTCTTGCTCTGTAGGGAAGTCTGTGTCCTGAGCTATATCTGTGCCCTTCCTGGCACCTGGCAGAACTTCCCATTGTCTGCTAAACTGCAACTCAGAAGCTCGGTGCCCTAGGGTAGCTTTCCTTACAGAATTAGGCCTTGCTCAGTCAGGACTCACGGGCCCTGTACAAACCTCTATTACGATATTAGACTCACTGGAACTTTCACTACAAGTGCTATCTTCCCCACTGAGGCTGTGAGCTCCCTGCGGGCAAGGGCTTGATCTTACCTCCGTTCCACACACCCATCCCAGTAGCTGTTCAATGAAAGCATGTTAAAGGGGTGAGGGGATGGCCAGCACCAAGTCAAATACACATACGGGAAATGACACTTCAAGCCACCCGTCCCTCTGAAGACAAATGTGTTTCTCTAACAACAGGAGGGGTTCTGTGGTGCCGCCCTGTAGCACACATGAGTGTTTAGAGTTAGCAGGGACAGTCCTAAGGCTGCTAAGGAGCATTCCACGAGTAACCTTAGGTATCACATCCATTTAATTGTAACTGTATGACAGCAATCCCAGTAAGAAAGTTCGAGTTAACCAAAAGAATCCACTGAATGTAGATGGGCCAGGCAGCTAGTGTGCTGTGTGGAAACCCCACCCCCTGCCCCATTGGTCCATAAAAGATGTGAAAATAATTCTGGATTTGGGAACCCAAAATCCTTAAGTTAGTTTACTGATTTGGCCATTTATTAGCTGTATGATCTGGGAAGTCACCTGACTTCTCCAGTGGCTTCTTTCTAAAATGTACAGTGGTTAAAACTTGTGTTTGGCTGTTCATTAGATACTGGGTGTGAATCCTCCATCCTTGTTTGTCTATTTTGTGAACTTGGACAAGTTGGTTTGCTCCTTGCTCCTGCCTCACCTCTTAGATAGATACCTGATCCTCAGTCATAGTCCTAAAGTGAGTCACTGGGCCAAATGGAGTTCTGAGTTCAGAATTTCAGTTATTTTATAAAAGGTTAATGTGGGCCTGGAGAGATGGCTCAGTGCTTAAGAGCACTGGTTGCTCTTCCGGAGGTCCCAGGTTCAATTCCCACTTCCCACATGGTAGCTCATAACTGTCTGTAACTACAGTTGCAGGGGATCTGACACCCTCATATAGACATACATGCACGAGAAAACACATTAACTAAAAATAAATAAAAGGGACTAAGGTGGAAGCAGGGGCTGAATGGGAGAAAGTGTATAAATAGCCTCCAGTTGGTTGTGCCACCAAAAATATTTGAATTGATCATAGCGCTTTTAGAGTGGCACGGTGTGATGGTGAGCATGTGTGTGGTCCACCTGCCACAGAGGAAACCTTCATGCACTGCCAATCATTATTACCCTGCCTGGCTGCTGGGGTGTGTGGCGTAATGCACACTTCTCCCTTTTAAAGAAGCCTACTCTGTGTGACTTTCATGACCCATAGAGGCAGCAACGGGAGGAAGTAATTGGAGGAAAAGGTGGCAGGATACTACTCCCTGGGAGTCTCAGATCATTGCAAAGCACATCTCCTGTACTCTGACAGTGGAACCGGGATTGGGCTAGGGCTGTCTTCGGATAGGCCCCTAAACCTAAATCCCATCCTCTTGGCACCAGACAGGGACAAGCCTAAAAATACTAGCGAATTGAGGGCTGTCTTCTGTGGGGGAGATCTCTCACTGAAGCAGAAACCCACCATTTCAGCTAGGCTAGCTGACTGACAAGCTCTCAAGCAGGACCCGCCTGTCTCTTCCATTGGGTTCATGCCTGGCTTTTTTATGTGGATACTGGAAATTCCAGCACAAGCCCTCATGCTTGAGAAGTGACCACTCTTACCCACTGAGCCATCTACCCAGTCCCAAATGAGTCCCAAATGGCCAGGTGGTGGTGGCGCACGCCTTTAGTGTCAGAACTTAGGAGACAGAGGCAGGCAAATCTCTGTGAATTTGAGGTCAGTGTGGTCTACAGAGCTAGTTCCAGGTCAGCCAAGGCTACACGAAGAAACCCTGTCTCAAAAAAACAAAAATAAATTTTTAAAAAATTTTTAAAGGATAGTCTTTAATAGGGATTCTTATCCAGTGATATCAAAGGTCCAGACAGGTAGAGTTTCCTATTTCCAGTCTGGATAAGAATGTTGTTACTGCCCACAGAGGGAGTGGTGGAAAATAAAATGTTTCATGGCCTTCAGGAAAGCCTGCGCTCTAGGGTGTTTCTACCACTGCATCCCAGCAGGGGGCGCTCATAGCTCTTAAGGAACGGGGCTGGTGCTGGTCCCCAGGGTTTAAAGCCTTGAAGCCACCAGGCAAAAAGGACTGACTATTCATAGGGCCTCAGACACAATAGCCTGAAGGCGGGGCTCCATGCAATCAGTGAGAGGCTCCCCGCCCACAGCTTGCTAAGAAAAGCAACATCCAAAATACGCTTTCTGGCACACTAGTTCTACAGGATGCTTGCTGGGAAAGGGGTTCTTCAGCCCTAAGAATTTGGGCTGCCTTTATTCTCTTGACACTTCACATCTGACCTGAGCATAATAAAAGCTCTGGGAAATCACACAGTTAGGAAACTCACCAAATAGTTACTCAAGCTACATTTTCTTCTAACAATTTCCCTTTGGGCAGTAGTGGCTCACACCTTTCATCTCAGCACTCTGGAGGCAGAAGCGGTGAAGCTCTGATTTCTAGGCAAGCCTGGTCTACCAGAGTGAGCTCCACAACAGCTAGAACAATACTGAGAAACACTGTCTTCACAAACCAAAAACAAAAGAAAGAAGAAAGAAAAGAAGGGGGGCTCTGCCTAACAATTATGTCTATAGTAGAGGAAGATCCAGATTGCTGCAGGCCAGCTTGGGTGGCCTGGGCTTCCCCCAAGGAGTAGGAGTCTTATCTCATGTACCCAGTCTTCCATCTCTGCGAGCTGCAATCGCCCCCCACCCCACGCCTCCTCTCTCCAAGACAGGTTTCTCTATGTAGCCCTGGCTGTCCTAGAATTAGCTTTGTAGATCAGGCTGGCCTTACACTCAGGGATCAGCCAATCAGTCTGCCCCTGTGCCCCGAGTGCTGGGATTAAAGGTGTGTGTCCCCACCACCACCCAGCTGAAAGCCATCTCTTAAACTGAAGGCTTCTCATCCTCCAGCTGCTTCTGAGGGGCCAATTCTCTGAGGGAAGCTACCCTTTCATGCCTTAGTTCTTGGTCCCTTGTGTGTTTATCATGACTCTGGACTCTGCAGACCTTCTGTGTTAGGGATTATGAGGTTTGTCAACGGAGGTCATACCTCAATGAGGTCATTCCTTTAACCCTTTCTGCCTGGGAGAATGGCAGCTGGTAGCCCAATTATATCAAGTTCTTTCCCCCATGGGGGCATTTCTCTTATTTTTGGAAGCCCATTTGAGTTCATAAGCCAGCAAGCAAAACCATTTCAGACTCAAAGGAACAAGACATTTACGGCAGAATCTGCTGTGTCATAAAGCAAACGAATTTCCCTATCATATTTAAATCCTGGAACACGGCTTCCACTTGCTTATGAAACTAATAGGCTTTGAGGCACAAGGAAGCAAGGCCTAAAGCATATTAAGTAAACCCTGAGAGGCCAGGCATGGAAGCTCATACTTAAAATCCCACCACTTTAGAGGCAGTAGCCAGAGAACTGCCAAAACACAAGGCCAGCTGGATGGAGTACATAGTGAGTTCCAGGCCAGCCTGGTCTAAAGAGTGAGACCCTGTTTCGTTTTGGTTTTTGTTTTTTAAAGACACTGGGAAAACAGCTATTTGCTGTATAACATAGATATCTGTCCCCACTTCCTCTCAAACTGTGGTTTTCCTGTTTCTCTGGGCAGCGACCACGACGCACCAATGAGCAGTAAAGGATATGTGGATGGACGAGAAAGGAATCCTGTCAGCCAGGCCCTGCAGCCCACCAGGCTCCATCTTCACAGAGGGTGGGAGAGGCCGGCTTTCCAGGTGGACAGGGGTGAACGACATGGGGAGTTGCTGCTGGCTCAAACCCCAAGGCTGCTGGGCAGACTCCAGGGAGGTACGGCTTTGGGCCGACGAGTTCTGGGGAGGGTTGCCACTCCAATGGCTGTCAGGCCCACGACCCAGAAGCTGGCTAAGAATTTGGTTTTCCCAGATGTGGGAAGGCACAGCTGTCAAGGGACAGTTTGACAGGGGACTCTGATACGGTTTGGGAACTGATCTCGGAGAGGAAGAACACATAGGAGGATCTAGAGGCGTAGCCAGTGAATTACCCAAGGGCACCCCAGCTTGTGGCTGGACCCTCCTAGGCAGGGTGGCAATAACAAGTGGAGGCTGATAGGCACTCCTCCCTGGAGGGGAAGGCTGGCTTCTGCTCTCTGATGCTGTCCCCAGGCAGCTTGGTTCCTGCTGGGTGAGGTGGCCTGGTGGATCCAGTAGCACCTGTTGTAATACTGAGTCCACAGCCAGGGACATGGCCCTGCTTAGTTCTTTCCTCAGCGTCTCCACTAAAGCCCGCGGTCCGGAAGGACTGAGCATGGCCTCCTCCGCCTGCTGTTGTACCTCAACCACGTGTGGCTTTACTGCTCCACAGATGTCCTTGTTAGAACTCTGCTGGGGTTTGTTCTCCATGGTCCGGGGGCTAGACGGGGAGCTGTTCCTCGGCTTTGCCCTCGTGGGGCTTCTTTGCTCAGTCCCTCCTGAGCCCTGCGCAGGTGCCCTTGGCTCAGCACCCTGTAGGACATGCTCCTGGAGATGTCTTAGCTGTTGTTTCAGTAGATGGAGCTGCTCTTTTACTCGGGTCCCCCCCTTCTTGGATGCTCGATCCCAGACATGACCTGATTTCAGGGAACCCTGGTGCATCGGAAGGCTCTGCTTTCTTTTCCGCTCCCGGACCTTTTCTGGATAGCATGGGTGCTCCCTGGCTCGCACACTGCCTGACACCAAGGGACTAGGAGAGAGACACATGCCGCGGACAATAGTCTCTACTCTGGCCCTCTTTGCCTGGATGTGCTCATTCCAAAACCAATCTGAGTCAGTTAGGCTGGAGCTAGGCAGCTGACCACTGGGAAAAGAGGAATCTCTGCCCAGTTCTACTGTGGGTGGGCTTCTCTCGCCTTCCATGCAGGTTTCTGCCAGGTGGGAGCAGATCTGGGACTGAGGAGAAAGCAAAACAGGAGGTAGATCCATCGCCTGCCTCCCCGGATGCTTGTGCAGAGCGCCCTGAAGGAGCTCAGGGCCTTTGAGAGCTCTGCTGAATTGAGCAGCCAGAGGTGCACGGTCCCGCTGAAGTGACTGCCTCACACTCAGAGGGGTGGGAATCAGCTGCTTCGGGGGTTCAGGAAGACCAGGGCCACGGAAGGTTGGAACCTTCGGGACAGACTCCTGAAATGAAAGACAGGAAGAAAATAACATGGAGCGATGCTTTTCAAACTTGAATATACAAAGGAATCACTTTGGAAGTTTGATAAAGCCCAGATTTCAGTGCAGCCCATCTGGAACCAGGAAGAGACTGCATTTCCAATTGAGCTCCCAGGCCATATTCATTGGGGCACCACTTTGGGAAACTTCCAAAAGTGAACCTCTTGGGGGTGGGGAATATCTGTCGGGGCAGAATAATAAATAATAATTATAATAATCCCAGCTCTCATGAGAGAGAGGCGGATGGACCTCTGTGAATTGGAGCCCAGTCTGGTCTACATAATGAGTTCCAGGACAGTCAGAGCCACATTAGTGAGACTGTGTCAAAACAACAGCTGATGATGGTGGCCAACTGAATAGCTTATCCAGCTTCTCTGGGCTCTGGTACAACAAGGAAGTGGCAGGTTGATGTCAAAATAAGCCTGGTCACATCCAGAAGGAGTGAGAGCAACAGTGTCGTCTGGGTTCTCATTTAAAACAGCAACGTCCATTGGTCCAGTTACAATAAACAGGACCCTGGCAGTGGGTCTTCCATAGCCCAGGCTAGCCTTGAACTTACTGTGTAGCTAAGAGTGATTCTGAACTTTGGATCCTCTGGATTTCGTGTGTGCACTCTACCAACTGAGCTACAGCCCCAGATTTGTTTTTGTTTTTGTTTTTTGTTTTTTGTTTTGTTTTGTTTTGTTTTTTTAGTTTGGACAGTGTCTCACTATATGCTGCCCTTGACCCCGAAATCCTGCTGCTATAGTATGGGGAGCTACTGTACCTGAACCCAAGATTCTTATCTGAAACAAGTTTGAATCATTGCTATTTGACTGAAATGCTGTCCTGCATCCTTGAGATCAGGAGGTGCATTTTTTTTTTACAGATTTATTTATTTATTATGTATACAACATTCCTTCCATGTGTGCCTGCAGGCCAGAAGAGGGCACCAGATCTCATTATAGATGGCTGTGAGGACCTCTGGAAGAGCATCCAGTGCTCTTAATCGCTGAGCCATCTCTCCAGCCCCAGAAGGTGCATTTTTAACTTAACTATCTGTTCCACAACTACTATGGAGCCCCTGCTTGGATCAGGCCTCCTGTGCAGTGGAAGGGTTGAAGCTGGACTGTCGGGGCGTGCACTGGGGCGCACCATGTGGTGGCAGGCGGCTGAAGAAAGAAGGCAGTCCAAGATGAACTTTTAAGACCTACGTGGCAGCAGGAAGGTCTAGCCTCTTCTGCTGGACTGAACCCCAACAGCCTTACAAAGGCCTATTTATTGATTGTCACACAAAGTATTTCCTCATACCAAGGTCCCTAAGCTAATTTACACGGCTTACTAAAGGACAACGTCACACGCCCTCAAGGCTTTTGTCCTTATTATGCAACATTTGCAATACACAATAATGCAAGAGCCTCAGGTATGCCTGAGGTGTCTTGTGACCAATGTTGTGGGGTGGCTACAATACCCCTTCAGCAAAACAATTCTACACATCACAGGAAACAAAGAATCCTTATATTCCACAAGGATTCTTCAAGGTCAAAGGACTTCTAAAAAAAAAAAAAAAAAACCAGATAAAATGACTGCTAAATTTCTACCACAACTGGCAGTCTGCTCCTAGGATCCTGTTGGTCTAGGAGGGGACGCAGAGGGCTGTTTCTGGGTGTGACCCCTGCTGTGAAGTGAAGAAAGCACTGAAGGAGCAGGAATTGGGAGAAGAGATAAGAAGGGAGCTGCTTTCGAAAGAGCCACCCAGAAATGTTCTGTCTACCCAGAGCCTACTTAGAGGCTTCTAACAGGATGCGGGGGAGCAGATGAGTTCCCTCCGGCTTTGTGACGCCATGAGCAGCTCCTAGCTGCTAAAATCCCAAATCGTCTGATTTGAGAGGTTGGTTTCTCTCTCCGTTAAGCAGACTCACTGTTTTCTACAGGAGATAAATGAATTTCCCTTCTGGAAACATCCATTCCTGTTTGCCTCTCTTGAACCAAATACTGGTGGAGGAGGCTGAAGAGATTGCCTCAGCAGTGAAGTGCTCATCACACAAGTATGAGGACCTCCAGCACCCACATAAAAACCAGCTATGGCGATGTGGATCTATAATCCCACCGCTGGGGAGGCAGAGACAGAAGGATCTGGAGGACCTGGCTGGCCCGGCAGTCTAGCCGAACCAGTCAACTCCAGGTTCAATCACACACACATGTGTGCACACATGCACTCACATGCACAAGCACACATACTCCTGGCAGTGGAGAGCTTACTTATTTCTGCCCACTGTCATCTGAGGCTGCCTCTTTTGTTGGTTTGTAGGCCTGCTAGTGACATGACATCCACCCTCGGCTTCAGTCTCCACCCCAGGCTACCAGATGCCAGGTAGAGACGCTCAAGTTCCCCGTGCTCTGTCAAGGAGCAGAGGGCAGTGGTGCGTGCAATGATGTCATGAGGGAACACACCGCTAACAGAGTTAGGGTCTTCAGTCAGATTAATTGGGCGAGTCTCATTTTGAATAAGACATTTGTAAATTATTAAAACAAAGATCTGGGTGTGGTAGCTGAAGCCTTTAATCCTAGCATGTGGGAGACAGAAGCAGGTGGATCTCTTTGAGTTTCAGGCCACCCTGATCTCTATAATGAGTTCTAGGTTAGCCAGAGGCTACATGGTGAGACCCTTGTCTCAAAAAAAATTTTTTTTATTTATTTATTTGTTTATTATGTATACAGTATTCTGTCTGCAGGCCAGAAGAGGGCACCAGTCCTCATTACAGATGGTTGTGAGCCACCATGTGGTTGCTGGATATTGAACTCAGGACCTTTGTAAGAGCAGGCAATGCTCTTAACCACTGGGCCAAAACTCTCCAGTCCCTCAAAAAATATTTTTAATTAAAAAGGAAAATTGGAAAATTCATGCAGGCTGAAAACTTCATTATTGTTACATTTGTAATAATAATGGTTTGCATAATGGTAAAAATAAAACGGCACTGTTCCCCGAGTGGCAGCAGTGGGCAGCGGGTCCCGAGACACGGTGGGCCATGAAGGCAGCCAGTTCCAGGCGGGGAACCTCCACAGGTGGCCTGTGGGCCATGAGGGCCAGCCAGCGGGTCCTAGGTAGGCAGGGAGCATGGTGGCAGGTGAGAGACCTTGGAGGGGCAACTAGTACCATGAGCCACAGCCACGGCAGGTGAGAGACAGACGGATAGGCACACCATGCAGAGTGAGGTTGGATGTTTATTTAGTGGGTTATGGAAGGGAAGGGGAAAGGGGAGATGGGAGAAGGGAGAAGAGCAGAGAGAGGCAGGTCATTAAAAAGTATCTCAGGGGGCTGGGGAGATGACTCAGTCGTTGAGAGCATGCAGTGTTCTTGCCAAGGAGCTGAGTTTGGTTCCCAGCACCCACATCAGCTGGCTCACAACACCTATAACTCCAACTCCAAGGAGATTTATTGCCTCTGGTCTCCAAGGGGACCTACACTCATGTACACTTAACCACAAATACACACACACACACAGAGAGAGAGAGAGAGAGAGGGAGAGAGAGAGAGAGAGAGAGAGAGAGAGAATTAAAAATAGTAAAAATTGTAAAAGCATCTGGGGCCAGAAGAGGAAGTTCATACTGGCAATCCTAGTACTTGAACGTGGAGGCAGGAGACTGAAGAGTTAAAGTCCAGCCTCAGGTACCTAGCGAGTCTGAGAGCAGCCTGGGCTGCATAAAACTGTCTCAAAAACAAATCCCATCTGTATTTAATATGCAAAGTTTTTTCTTGCCATTATTCCCTAAACCATATAATTTAACAACTGTCCACATGATGTGCATATTGTTTTAGGAACTGTAAGCAATGTAGAGAGGATTTTAAGTTGATGGCGTAGTAGTGTGTGTTCTGCGTATGACATGGGGTGTGAGGATCTAGGTGTAGTGTGTGTATGTTCTGCGTATGACATGGGGTGTGA